AGAAGTTCTTCCTCATGTTCAGATGGAACTTCCTGTGCCTCAGTTTGTGCCCATTGCCCCTTGTCCTGTCACTGGGCACCACTGAAAAGAGCTAAGATCCTAAGGATCACGGAGAACATATGGGTTTCTATGACAACTTGGAAATCTTTCACATGTCTATCTAGTGATGGGGAGCAGCAACTTCTTACCAGAGACATAGGGCACTTCTCCAGCTCCTCCTCATTCTTGATCTGAACATCCGAGATGGAAACATACTTGTGCTGGCAAAATACACAGACAGAGGCAGAGCGATGTCACAACTGAAGGATGAAACACAGCAATGACAACAGTTGCTAATTTCAGTAATATCCGAGTTAGGTGTATAGGTCACAGCAGATACATGGGACAACTCATCTTTGTGTGGGACATCCCTCTCTCCCTGAAGCTCCTCACACATCATGCCTCTGATTACTTCCACCTACTCCTTCTAGGATCTCTCTGTAAGTAAATGGAGAGGGACAATTGCTTCCAAAAGGCAATCCAGACCTTAGATAGAGTCAGTTTGCCTCTGGAGGTGTCTCACTCCACGCGGAGCACAGCAGGAGCCAAGGCTGGTCATGCTTCCCCCTGGGAACAGCACAGGTCTGGGCACATATGTCCAAACCCAACTCTGGAAGTCTGTCACGTTCAAAGCACAACGTGGCCAATGCTTGCCAGGACGCAGCAATGTTGCTGGACCTGGGATGAAAGGCAAGTCCCAAGTGCTGGATAATCTGCTTAGAACTGCAGTAAGGACTCAGTTTTCCGTTTTTTGCCCCAATTCCTGCAAAAAGCTCCAGCAGTTTTTCCTGTGATAACTAACAAGAAGGGGCCCTCTTACTCCCTCCAGTAACTCTGTTTCAGCTGGAGGTTAGACACGAGGATCCCACACTGCGTGTGGTGGATATCAAGCCGCTCTCAACCTGCTCAGACCTTGACTGGATTTATCAGATGGACTTCCCAAGGCAGAGAGAGTAACAGCTTAGACCAAAGGTGTTGCTGTACATCAGCTGAAGAGGAGCAGAAGACTAAATCCACGTGAAACATTTACTGTGGGCTGAGAGCATACACCTGAGGAACTTGAAACTCCTTATAAGTGCTATATCACAAAGTTTACGTGTATGAGACTTGATGCCCTGCAATCCCACTATGGCCCTGGTGATCTTGACCAATTATTTCCTCACTTCCATGTGATCTCCACAATTCCGATCCCACCTCAGAGCGTCTCCTGAGTGCCAGGGAGCAAAAATAGCAAAGGAAGAGGTTAGACAAGATGATTGCAGCTCAGCAAGGCATTCTGGGCTGCTTAATCCAAGCGCTATGCATGGAGCCACCATCTTACCTGCTTCAGTGTCTTCACGCTTTCATGGATGGGCCGTGGTAGCCCTATCAGGGTTTCGGTGTCTCTGTGGGGGATGAAAAAAGGTGAGTATGAGGCTGGGAAGATCTGGGTTTAACACTTCCAAGTCATAGAATAAAAAAGGGAGCCTGTAGTCTACTGAATCTACTGAATGAATCCTAGAAGGGTCAGGAATTGGGAGAGGTGCTGGCGTGAGCTGCCCGCCCTCCCACCTCCTCCCCAGGAAAGCCTGCACAAGAGGGGTGACGTTGGGGTGAAGAACTGGGGTGAAATCAGGTCTCTGCATGGAGCCAGCTTGAGCCCAGCACCATACCTAAAAACAAATATACCCTGCTGGGCCCTTGCCAGGATGACTCTGTACCCGCAGCTCAATTTATTCACAAACTGGGTAATTTGATGTGGATACCAGATTGTCTTGACTCCCTCTCGTATCAAACCAGTCTCTGGCTTAGGCCAGGGGTCACTTATTCCGGGCTAGGTCTGATTTTTAATAGAAAGAGGTCCTTGAGACCAGCATCTCTAAGAACGTGTTTTTATAACACCGAGTGCACTGCTGCAGACCCAGCGAAATCCAGCGCTGTGCCACATCGTCCCGAGCATGACTTTGGCTGGTTGAGTTCAGAAAACCTGAGCTCTGTGGACACGTCCCACCTGTTAAACTGCACTGATGGGAGCTACAGGACAGACTTTGTTGGACCTACACATGTAACACTCACTGGCCCAGTGTGAATCCGATGAATTTGTTCCTGCTTGCTTCCAGGAAATGCTCGATGTCTTTCTGTCTGATGGAGTAGCAGAGAAACAAAAACAAGGAGAAGGTTGGAAAACAGACATATACCAGATCACAGCCTACATTGCTCAGAAAGGACAGCAGCGTGGGACCAGCAAGAACCTTTGAGCCTTCTGCGGTTGATTTCTAGAGGTCTTCATAGCAGCGGGCTAGAGCCACCATTGCTTTCATTGGTTGGGAGCAACGTGAACCAAAACCATTTGTATTTGCTGTGTAACTCCATGGGAGTGTGCAAATAAATGGAGAGGAGTTCTCTACGACAAGCACCTTTTTATCCACCTTCTGTGCTCCTAGCACATGCATCTTCAAGTAGCATCTGCTCACTTTGAGCAAACAAATGTTGTCTCTGCAGTCTGGCGGAGCAAGTGCTGCTCCAAGAGAATGCAAGCTGACATCTTGTCCACCTTGAGCATCTTTCATGAGAACTGGTCAGGGTCTCAGCACTACAAGTAGGACATGAACTGTGAGCCAAGCCTCTTACATGCAGAAAGAAACCCAGCTGGATTTCCAGGTACCAGCCAAGAAAAACAACGATCATTTGATTTTGAAGCTGAGAGCATTAAGTTATGTGGAGTACCACAGAACCGCGTGTGCAGAGACCCATGTGGGAAACCAGTTCTTGCTGTGTCCCTGCAAGGAGTGCTCTGGATAGACACACTTAACCTTGTCACTGCTCCCACATCATTTGTTCATGTGTTTTAAAGATATCGGATTAAATCCAGGCTTCAGATCGACAGCAAAAAACCTCACATGGATTAGAGGGAAAGGGGCAGAGGTTTTCACCCTCTTTTTCTAATGCTCCCCCATATCATGTGTAGCAGAACCGGTCTCAGGAAGACAAGGTACAAACTTCTTTATCCTCAGACGTTTTTCTCCAATTTTGCACCGTACAGCAAGGCCACTCAAGAAGGCTTCATGTGGCAACACAAGAGTCCCATTCAACAAGCAAGGGGCAATGTCATTAACCAGTTCCCAAGATGAGCAGCCTAGCACCTTGCCACACCGAGATTTGTTGGTACCATTTGGGAAAGCTGACCCTGCTCTCACATCACTCCAGCACAAACCTCCTTCCCAGTACAACCTCGGGTGTCCAAAGTGGGATCGCCACTTGTTGTCCAAGCTTGGCCATGCTTGGTTTGTAAAGCCTGGGGAAGGGCTCAGCTAAACCCAGTCCAGAAGGGTCCAACTGAGACAAAAAGAGAACTGGAGTCACTTCAGTTCAATTTGATGGAGGCCAACAAACTTGCCACAGACACGTTCAGCCTGCAATGATCTCCATGACACGTAGGACTGGGGAGGATGGCAATGACACCAAGTGGTTTTACCTGACTTTAGGGGCCCAGGGGAGCCCTTTGGGGAATGACACCCTTTCAATAGGCGGGCGCTGAGCAGGCATCATGGGGATAATCGCATCCCGCTCCATCAGGTCCAGTTCCCCCTCGATCCCACTGTCCACATCATCGTTCTCCTCTTCGTCGACTCCTGCTTCATCATTCTTGAATGGGTCTCTCTCGTTGTAGATATCCAAACTGTCTTGCTTCACCAGGGGCTGCAGTGTAAGGGGAAAGAGAAATTCAAGTTACTCCATGGATTTCATTTACCTCCCAGCCACCGGCACCAGATCTCTCCATCCTGGAAGGATCAAGCTCCCAGAAGTTCCTCAGGTGAGGCTTTGTTTCCTAGCTGTTGCCTGCCTCTGACCTTGCTGCTCTAGGAGGGGTGATGCCATTTTCCATCTTAATTTATGGAGCTACCATCCCACACCTTTACCCTAGCAAAAGAGGCATTTTCATTCTCGAACCATAACACACCAACTCCAAGAGCAGAACTAAAAAAAGACAAGCTTGCTGTGAGCAGTTTGCTCCTCAGTGCTTATTAGCCCTTTGCCATAGGGTCAGGATGTCCTCACACTTCCTCCAGACCAAGTGCATTGCAGGGCTGATCTGTCGCAACTGAAACTGGTGGATGAAAAGCTGGACACAAGCCACCAATGTGCGCTGGCAGCCCAGAAGGCC